TGGTTCAAGACAAACTTAGATGACTATGGAGTATGCACAAAAAATGTTTCTGGTACCTAAACAACAGCTTGATCTTTTAAGAAGACCTCCGGCACACGAGTTTTTTCGCAAAACTGTTGAAAATGACCTGGATCGTACTATAAAAGACATTCTGGATCAAAAGACTGAAGATCTTCATGAAAAAGCAACAAAATATTCCATCGCATTGCAGAGATTTCTCACCATGGTAAAACAAGGAGAAAAAGACTAGAACACACTAACTCTGTCAATACCGATCGCTCAAGAAGGAAGAGACTTTGTTTTTGAAGAAGTTTTAAAAAACATGCCAAAAAACAGCAGGAATAAAGCCCAGCATATTTTGGCTAAAATGTCCTCCTCAAAAAACATATCTGCATGGACTGAACGTGGGGAGTTTGTGTTTAACGGTAATGTTATTAATGGGTCTCATGTGTATGATTTGATAAGAGGAGTAACTGCTTCTCACAACGTGTATGACAGCCAGAGACCTACAGGTTGGGATGAATATCTGCAATCGTTGGCTATATTGAATATACCTTTGTCAGTTGTACCAAATCAGCAGGTCAAAAAAAAAATTGACGAGATTAAGAGAAAGACCTCTGGAGAATCTTCTCCTGTTATTACTGGACCGCCATCTACACCTCTTGTTACCAGAGGACATCGATTAGTAAACAATGAAACAAGTCCCTTTGAATCTCCTGAAATGCGATTGAGTGATTGGATAACTTTTTAATTGTATATCGTTATCGGTTTTAAATAAATACATACAGACATAACTTTATCATTTCAAAGTGTTTTCATTTATATCACCATAATAACAAAAAACATTGTCGTACAAGTTTCTATCTATAAATTATTTTGATAATGAATGGCACACAACTTCTAATATTATTATACACATTTAAAAGAATCTGATACTTGGACACACTGGTTACATTCTGCATAATTATTTTGACCACATACAACTAAGGGTCGTATTTATTTCACAAATTTGCACGCCATAACATCATTGCAAGACCGTTTATTACTATATTTAGTCATTACATAGTCATAAGGTAATCCCTCTATCCATGTCGTAAAGAAAAAACACACAATGCTGACCTCACTCTACAGAATCCACATCTTGCACTTGTCTAACAGAATGTTGCATGGACTTACAATTACTGTTGAGAAAGACAGAAAAGGATTCAGGAAAATGTGAGTATACCGGAGAGTTCCCAAAATTGTCAAAGAATGATCCCACACCGTGCTTGTCAATATAGATAGCGACCCAGTGTTGTCCTCCCAGGTGGAAGGGGTCTGTGTTTACCACCAACATGGCAGATTTCTTTTTAATAACTGATTTAGGAAGCTGGTCACTAGCAAATACGCCAAGAAAGACGCTTTGCTTTACTACCTTATCAAGTACTTTCGATAGTTCTATTCATACTATCGTTATATGTGGCGTAAATAACCGCGTTTATACCTCCAATCTAACACTACCGTTTTTAATGAGCTACATATGTTCTCTGCATCCTTCATCAGCGCTCAGGTTAAAACAGAACAGACTATATCCATTACAAAACTCGTCGCGGGTTATGGCCATAGCGTTGTTTTTAAGATACTTTCCAGTTGCCCAGTACAATTGATGATACTCCCTGATGGCGTTCCCTCTGGTAAAGTTGGGTTGAAAGGGTTTTGAAGGATATTGCTGGCCATCAACTTATAAACATAAAAACTCTATATCATAAGGGTTAAATGTAAATTAATTACGCGCATAACTACCTGTAAATGCCTCATGATCTACAAATCCTACTACAATAAAATTAGGTATTTGTCCCAAGAATACATTTTCTTGATTACAAACACGCATGCCCATTGGTACGCTAAAGTTTTTCAGACAGACTCTGTCTATGGGATATTTAACGTTGCCGTGCGTTAATGGCTTAGCGTGTGCTTGCTTAACAGCCAGAGATACGGTGACTTTCTTTACAAACAGGCTTGCTGACATAATGTTAACCTGAAAGTCATCTACAGTGTTGCGCATTAAGCAAAATTTTTAGATCTTATGAATTTTATCTTGAGGTCTACGCCATTTATCATTAACTTGCCTTGAAAAAACAAGACAGAATGTAAAGGGGATATTAGCTCCACTACGCGGCCGCCTTGTGTGTACTCCATTCTTTTAACTAGTCCTTCATTGCGTCCTCCAGCCATTGTGTCGTCCATATGACCTGCTGTATCCATGCAAAATAGTCCGGATCCAAACTGTGTCCTTTCCGTAGTTCAAAAGCCACTCTATTATACCCCTGTAAGGATATGTGTTTGATGATTGCGTTATGAGTCGGTCCCCCAACGATATGTCGACCTGTAAAAATATTGTACATCCAGGGTAGTTGATAAAGCCCACTTCGTCTGCTTGATCCAGGTTTCCGCCATTAGCTTTGGTGATTTTTGCGTGCGTGTAGGGCGTGTCTGGCCTATTAGCGGGGTTGGGGGTCAATCACCAAAAGGTGAAGACGGGTGTGAAAAGGGGGGTTGTGTATATGGGATGTCCGGTTTTATCCTCTTAAAGCAGATGTTTGGGAGTGGCTTTAGCAATTGGTTGTATATATAGCGGGATCATTTTTTGACTTACATCTGACCGAGAGCGTGGAACAGTGTGACTGAATGATTTTTTGGGTGAATCCCTATCGGACAGAGCTATCTTTGTGCAGAACAACAGCGCACATAATCAATTAGGAGTAATGACTCCAAAACGACATATAATTATAGATCCTGTTGCAATGAGTATGGCTCCCAGAAAGAATACTCCCCCAACAAGACTGGCTGATTTTCTGGACCGAAAGGCATGGGCGCCTCAGTTTGAATGGGCAGTAGAAGATTTTAGAATGTCAGGATTCTTGTTTGAGCACGAACAGTTCATCTTTATACAAGAAATGAAATTTTTCTTTGTGAAAGCACACCGCACATTAGTTTTATAGCCAAAGACTGGAATTACTTCAGAAACAAAGTCTGTAAAGATATGAGTGCTTCAAAAGGAGTCTAAACCACACAATGGTGCGGGTCTGTGCCAGGAGAGCTCTATCGTGTAGAAACAGACCTTGAAGTCTACGACCCAGAATCCTACATCTTTTTTAGATCGTGCAAGGACGATTCTATCATTCAATAGGCTAGGATGGGAACCCCAGAGCAACAAAAGGTCCAGTGGGGAGAATGGGATAGAACCCTTGAAATCTTCTCACACTTTGATAAATTACTCAGATGGTAGAAACCTTATGTAAGCTATGTAGGGATCAAAAGAAAACTTTTTGGTCCTGAGGACAAGCAAGATGAACAACAAACAACACCGCAGACAACCTCAAACACCTCCACGACGGGGCTGACGGTGACATTGTTCTAATTAAAATGTTATCAAGCTCTCTTGTATAAAGATGAACTGTTCGTGCTCAAACAAGAATCCTGACATTCTAAAATCTTCCACCACCCATTCAAACTGAGGCGCCCATGCCTTTCGGTCCAGAAAATCAGCCAATGTTGTTGGGGGAGTATTCTTTCTAGGAGCCATACTCATTGCAACAGGATCTATAATTATACGTCGTTTTGGAGTCGTTACTCCTAATTGATTACCTGTGACGTCCATGATTGTGATGCTGCAAAGATGGCGCTGTTGTTATGCACGAAGATAGCTCTGTCCGATACAGATTCACCCAAAAAATCGTCACACTGTTCCACACTCTCGGTCAGATGTAAGTCTAAAAACTATCCCGCTATATATATATATATATACAACCGATTGCTAAAGCCACTCCCAAACATCCGCTTTTGGAGGATAACACTGGACATCCCGTATACACAAACCCCCCTTTTCATACCCGTCTTCACCTTTTGGTGATCGACCCCCACCACCGCTAATAGAGGATGAGGCCGGACATGCCCTAGTACACACACCCATTTTTACACCCCCATGTCTTTGTTGTTCAACCTTGCTATGACCCCAATCCTTTTTTTTTTATATATAATTTTATTTTTTAATTAATTTCTTATATAATTTTTAATACATTTTTTGATTAATACATTTTTTGTTTAATCAAAAATGTATTCACGTGCACAACTATTACACGCATCGCACTTCTAATGTAGACAAAACCTTATTTTTTAATTAAGTAAAAATCACAGCTAAAATATGGTGTCAGGCAACATTTGTCTGGAGAAGGGAGTAAATGTTTACAGAACATATCGTGGTCTCATTATGTTGACAGATAGATAGTTTGCTTTCTTGTTTTATGAAAGTGGTATCGGTCAGCAAGAAAGCTAAGAAGAGCTATTGTTATAACTCTCCCTAAAATAATTATCATGAGATGGTGGTTATCGTAACAGTTTTACATGGTGACTAAAGAAACTTTTCATTCATCATAAATGTGGTATGAACATTAATGCATCCTTAAAAAACAGTGGAATATAATGAGTTATTGGTTTTGTGTTTCTTTTATATCATCTTAGCATTATTCCTGAGGATAAATATGTAGTGCAGGAGATCTTTGGATTTTTATTGCTGTGTGATGTTGAAATAGAAAATGCTACATTTAGAGTATAAATATATTTTGCATTTTTTAAATTAATTGGAAATGTTTGTTTCTGTTAGGGCTGTTGTTATGTTAAATTGTTTTGTGCAGCTATCAGAGTCACTGTTAAACATTTTATTTGTATTAATGTCTATAGTCCCACAAGAATATTATTTACTTTACTAATACTTTCCCAACTTACTCAGAAAGAGATTTGCTGAATGAACCTGATAATATTATAAGTTTAAAACTGTAATATGGAGTGTGTGTGAGTTTGTTTCAGTTTTATTTAGATTGATTGTGCTTGTGCTTGATGACTCTTGAGTTGTGTTCACTGGACCAGTTATCCTCATCATAGTCTCTTCACCAACCCTCTGCACCTGCAGCAAGTTGTTTTCACTTCAGTCAAACTGAAGGAGGTTTTTGTACGGCTCTAAATCACTGTGTGAACACTCCACCAACATGGGCACCCAGACAGTAGTAATCTCCAACATCTTCAGCCTGAACACCGCTGATGGTCAAAGTGTAGTCAGAACCAGATCTACTGCCACTGAATCGAGACGGAGTTCCAGAGAAGAGAGTTGATGCTTTGTATATAAGAAGTTTGGGAGCCTGTCCAGGTTTCTGAAGGTACCAACTGAGATCAGCACCAATATCTGAACTCCCTGTGGCGCTGAGGGTCACAGTCCCCCCAAGACTAACAGACTTGGATTTGTCAGTCTGAGTCAGAAATTTGTTTGCAGAAGACTCTGAAATGAGAAATGAAATGTTGACCCTGAGAAGAATGTTTTGATACCCAACAACATGGATCAGAAGTTTAGATTAAAATAGTAACAAAAAGACAAAAACAGAAAAGCCCACTGGACCAAAGATGAAAATATGTCAGACACATTTTCAAGCTCTCTCACCCTGACTCAGAAAACCCAACACTACAAGCAGAGTTATTGGCAACATCATCCTGATGCAGTTTTCAGTGTGAGTGCATGAAAACAGTTCAGGCTCTCTGTGACATGAGAACTTAAACTCTGAGGAGCAGTGACGCATAAAAGTCATGCAAAATGTATTTTAGAAGGCAAACACACATCTGTCCTTGTGAAACAGAAAGCAGAGGTGAATCATTCAGCCATTTATACAAAGAACTACATTTAGAAAATGTTAACTTTGGGTTGCTTTATATTGTTTCTCTTCATTTTGAATATTCTTCTTTCACTTTTGTCTTCATGACTTCATCCACATGATTTCTGGCTCATTACCAGATGAACGGCGTCCCCTGCTGGCAAACTGCATCAATGCTGGACTCACGATGAATCAACACAACATTTGAGTCGATTTTGAATTACCTTATTTTCACATTCAGTTTTTCCTCCTCATACTGGTGAAAACACATACAGAGTTCAGATCCTGCTCAGAGTTTTAAGTGACGAAGCGCCTGATGTTTCCTGCACATTTCATATCAACATCCTGACTGATTTAAACTTTAAGAGACATATAATTTACTGTCTTTGAATGTTCTCAGTCAGCCAGGTCATTGTTATTCAAGGAAGTTTAAAATCAAAGGAAACTGGACTAAGGTGAAGAGAGGTGAAACGTTTTGGAGTAACTTAAACCTAGTCCAGTTGTTCATCTGAAGTAAAAATTTGAGGTTTCTCTTTTTGGCATCCAGGATTTTAGACAGTCACAAAAATGTGTCTCAGTTGCAGCTGCTGTTTTGTTGTAATTAACTGATGTTTTTGTTGAAAAAGGTGTAATATTTATATGTTGATTATCTGTTTAACAGCAACCCAACAAGAATGAGTTTGACTGAAATCAGAGAACAAGCCTGCTGTAAAGTGCTGGACAACAACATCTTAAAGAGTAATGTGAGTAGCTCGGCAGCTACCTCTAATAACTGTTAGAGGTCAGAAAACCGTTTTTCCATTATAAAACATAATGTTAAATGTTTTTCACAAATAAATATTCCACTAATTAATAACAAGATAAAGTGTGATGATCTTTTAGTGGAGAGTATTCAGATATTATATTAATGGAAAGCATCAACTAATACTGCACTACAGTAAGAGTAGATGATGAACATATTGAGTTATATTTTATATATTTTCATATCTTCTCTACAAAGAATTTAAATAGAGGTTTGTTTGAGTATAATGTGAAAGGGGATACATTTTTCGCACTATGTTACAGAATGTCTCATGACAGACTATAAGATTCATTTTTGTTATTTTTTATAGTTTAAAATCAAAGGAAACTGGACTACGGTGAAGAGAGGTGAAACGTTTTGGAGTAACTTAAACCTAGTCCAGTTGTTCATCTGAAGTAAAAATTTGAGGTTTCTCTTTTTGGCGTCCAGGATGTTAAACAGTCATACAAATGTGTCTCAGTTGGAGCTGCTGTTTTGTAGTAATTAACTATTATTTTTAGGGGAAAAGGTAAAAAAAAAAAAACATGTAGATTAATTGTTTAACAATTAATTAAACTCCCTTTTCAACAAGGAATTCAAATAAAAGATTTTTTAAGTAAAATGTGAAACAGTATCAAAATCTTTTCCACTTTTTTAAGTAAATATGAAGTTATTGCTTGGCGAGGTTACCATCATTTATAGGTTTCACTACATTATGTTAAGCAACCTTGTAGCATACGTACCACAGAATGTATCATGACAGACTATACGAATCATTTTTATAATTTTATTATGTTTTTATCTATTTACCTCATAACTGTGTCACTTTCTTGTGCAAGGAACGTATAACATTGCTGTTCTTTGCTGACAACCATGTGCAGTTATCTGCATAAGTGAAGGTCAGTTTCACCTTCACTTTTTTTCAGCCCCTTATACATCAGTATTGCTTTAAAGTTTATATAACTGAAAATGCTCAAAATTTTATTTATGTTAATACTGTATGTGCTTTTTTTGGGTTGTTCTGATTTTTTTAGCTTAACTGTCCTTATTAAACCGTCTTCATTAAGTCTACTAACTTCACATTTGTCTCATTGCTGTGTACACTGCATTGAAACATGTCACAGTAAATACCTTGAAATATATTCAACATGTTAGTGTGAATCTGTAGTTTGTGCTTATGTGACGGAAACCAGCGAGGTCGTGCAGTGAGTAAACCTCACTCCCTGACACCTTAAGAGACACACTGGCGACCGACGCTAGTGCTCATGGGTTTTAGCCTCCTCGTCAGCGTGTCTGCCTCCAGTACCCGGGTGCCGATTCGAGTCTGGACCGTGTAGTAAATTCTCGGGGGCAGCCGGTAATATTGGTGAGGTTACTGTCAGCTCTGTGTTCAGTGGTCTGTGTCAGAGTCTCTTCCTCTTCAGCAGCTGCAGTCGGTTCCTGCAGTAACAGCTCAGTGTCTCTGCAGTCTGACTGAGGGAGGTTTTTGTACGACTATAATTCACTGTGTGAACGGCCAGTTATCATTTACTTTGTGTTGACTCTGACAGTAATAAACTGCTGCATCTTCAGTCTGAACTCCACTGATGGTCAAAGTGAAGTCAGAGCTGCTTCCACTGCCACTAAACCGAGCTGGTGTTCCTGAGTGCCTTATGCTGACATGTCTTATCAAGAGCTTTGGAGGCTGTCCAGATTTCTGTTGATACCAGAACATACATTCACCATCACCACAGTTGGAATAAGTAGCAGGGTTGATCTTACAGGTGAGAGTGACAGTGGATCCTGGTGTAGATGTCACTACTGCAGGCTGAGTCACAGTCACCTGACCGCTGCATCCTGCAG